GGGTACAAATGTAAACATAGTCAAGTGTAAACCACTTGTAATGACGCCGAAAGAACTAAAGACTTATCAGTACTACTAGTATAATTTTAACGGTATAATATATCCTCATTATTCCTTGTAAAAGTTAAACTTACTTTATAATTAAAAAGTCTTAACGTGACTCAGATCTAACTTAATGACTTCAGAAGCTGTTCACTTTTATTGCTTCAAACTAATATGTATATTCTCTCTATATCTCTTGCATGTACGCATCCATCCTCCCAGAATTTTCGTATAACCTTCTTTCTTGCTTATGGCTTTTTGCTATAAAGTCAAATTATTTCTGAATTATTTCCAAGCCTTGTTCCCACCTTGTGGTTTACCCTTAGATATCTTGTGTAATCTCATTTCTTTTGAAGTAGATTTCAAGGGAGTTTATAAATAGAGATGATCATCTTGGGAGAACCTAATATTGCCTCAAGGGCAAATAGTTTGAAAAATGGAGCAGGAAAAGAAAAGTATATCCATGAAGCAGTCCCAGACATTTTAAAATTTGGGTCTGCATTTACAACTGTTTATAGCAGAATCACATGACTCTGATTCGGGCCTTTTTTTTTTTTTTTTGCTGGAAGCTGGCATTTAATTCCAATTTCTGGCAAAAAAAACCACAACCCACTGGGGAAAATGGGCTTGCTTAATGACCGCAGAGTTTGCTTAACAAACGCCATAAAAAAGGTCATCAAATCAAGCATGGTCACTGGTGACAGCTTAATGACCGCCACAACTTATAACTATAATTCCGGACTTAATTATGATCATAAGTCAAAGACTACCTGTATTATCCATTTTTTAAATTGGTTTGTTGCTATACTTTACATCAGGGGTACCCAACCCCCAGTCCGTGGACTGGCACCGGGCAGTGGCATGCCAGAAACCGGTCCACACAGATAAGCAAAGCCCCACCCACCGGATGCAGGCAGTACATGAAACCACGCCCCCTCCGGTCTGCGGAAAAACCTCTCTCTCCAGTCCCTGGTGCTCAAAAGGTTGGGGACCTCTGCTTTACATACCATACCACATTAGTTGAAAATGGTCCAGGAATGCCTATCAGTATTTTCTTGGAAATATGTGTAGAACTAATGAATGATAAAGCCTTAGACTTCCACTTACAACTATTCTTGGGGACAAGGAATAATTTAGAGATAGGTATGCCATTTAAATGGGATCTAGATTGTGTGCGTTTCGTGTTTACACGTGTGCACGAGTACAGAGATTTGGTGTTGTCTTGTTTTTTGCTTTGTAGTCTTGGAGTGGCGTCTTACAATGAGATGAAAGTATCATCTGACAAAAGCAGACTAACTCTGCACGACCACAATCAGCTTCTGCACCCCAGAATCCTATTGGCAAGACAAAGCTCTGAAAAGCACAAGGGGACCTTTTTCATTTAGTGACCACATTGTAATAAAAAGAAGAACTCATTTCTATGTGCCCAGTTGATCTTTTGGATCTCTGTGCAGTGCAGCTTCTATAAAATCTAACACTTTCTTTACGAATATATTGTTATCCCATTTATAGGCTATTTTAATTTCTTTTGCTTGCTTGCAAAAATGAAGTATCACACTGCCCTTTCTTCTTCAGCTTGTTGAAAATGTATATAGCATTCCCTTTGAGCACCTGGGAACCTATTGGCAAGTCCGGGGGATTTCAATCAAGAGTCGTTTTTATATATTTAGGTTGGCTAAATATATAGCAAGTAATGTCAGATTCCTTCTTTCCCATTCTTTTGAATGCATTAAGAATCATTATATCGTGGCTAGGAAAACCATGGTGAAGCACTTTTTATAACAAAAGGACTAAATGAAGTGCAAGAAAGGGCTGTGAATATCACAGAAGCGGTATACTGTAAACAAAGCAGGACAGATGACTTCATGTTTGAAGCTATGAATAAGCTATTAATAGTTCTATTAAATTTCATTTAAAGCATCCATACCATACGAGGCTTTTCAGTTAGGTCTTTAGTCTTAATGCTTGGGGGGGGGGAAGTGTACTGCAGTCTCCTTAGCCTTTAAATGGCAGAGATGCCATTTTCTAATGATGTGTGACTCATTTATTTCTCATAATCTTCCTGATGATTTTTTTTTTTTGTTCCTTCTCTTTTGAGCGAGCAAGATGTGGGAGGGGGGGGAATGAGAGAGTTGAGTGGCACACTGCTTAAATTCTTCTTCTGCTTTTTCATTGGTTACATATTCTCCTAATCTAACCAATCCTGATACATTGCTGCCAGTTTAAGCCCACCTCCCNATTTTTTAATTCCAAATCCCATGTTTACATTTGTATCAGTTCACATTTGGTGAACATTACTGCGGCTTTCTTGATTTCTGAATAGTCATGATGATCATATTAAAATTGCCATATTATATAGGAGTAATAAGGAACATTTTCAATTTGAATGAAATATTAATTTTTCAGAATTGCACTGAGTCTAGATTGAATTACTGAAGCTGTTCACTTTTATTGCTTCAAACTAATATGTATATTCTCTCTATATCTCTTGCATGTACGCATCCATCCTCCCAGAATTTTCGTATAACCTTCTTTCTTGCTTATGGCTTTTTGCTATAAAGTCAAATTATTTCTGAATTATTTCCAAGCCTTGTTCCCACCTTGTGATTTACCCTTAGATATCTTGTGTAATCTCATTTCTTTTGAAGTAGATTTCAAGGGAGTTTATAAATAGAGATGATCATCTTGGGAGAACCTAATATTGCCTCAAGGGCAAATAGTTTGAAAAATGGAGCAGGAAAAGAAAAGTATATCCATGAAGCAGTCCCAGACATTTTAAAATTTGGGTCTGCATTTACAACTGTTTATAGCAGAATCACATGACTCTGATTCGGGCCTTTTTTTTTTTTTTGCTGGAAGCTGTCATTTAATTCCAATTTCTGGCAAAAAAAAAAAAAAAAAAAAAACACTGGGGAAAATGGGCTTGCTTAATGACCGCAGAGTTTGCTTAACAAACGCCATAAAAAAGGTCATCAAATCAAGCATGGTCACTGGTGACAGCTTAATGACTGCCACAACTTATAATTATAATTCCGGACTTAATTATGATCATAAGTCAAAGACTACCTGTATTATCCATTTTTTAAATTGGTTTGTTGCTATACTTTACATCAGGGGTCCCCAACCCCCAGTCCGTGGACTGACACCGGGCAGTGGCATGCCAGAAACCGGTCCACACAGATAAGCAAAGCCCCACCCACCGGATGCAGGCAGTACATGAAACCACGCCCCCTCCGGTCTGCGGAAAAACCTCTCTCTCCGGTCCCTGGTGCTCAAAAGGTTGGGGACCTCTGCTTTACATACCATACCACATTAGTTGAAAATGGTCCAGGAATGCCTATCAGTATTTTCTTGGAAATATATGTAGAACTAATGAATGATAAAGCCTTAGACTTCCACTTACAACTATTCTTGGGGACAAGGAATAATTTAGAGATAGGTATGCCATTTAAATGGGATCTAGATTGTGTGCGTTTCGTGTTTACACGTGTGCACGAGTACAGAGATTTGGTGTTGTCTTGTTTTCTGCTTTGTAGTCTTGGAGTGGCGTCTTACAGTGAGATGAAAGTATCATCTGACAAAAGCAGACTAACTCTGCACGACCACAATCAGCTTCTGCACCCCGGAATCCTATTGGCAAGACAAAGCTCTGAAAAGCACAAGGGGATCTTTTTCATTTAGTGACCACATTGTAATAAAAGGAAGAACTCATTTCTATGTGCCCAGTTGGTCTTTTGGATCTCTGTGCATTGCAGCTTCTATAAAATCGAACACTTTCTTTACGAATATATTATTATCCCATTTATAGGCTATTTTTATTTCTTTTGTTTGCTTGCAAAAATGAAGTATCACACTGCCCTTTCTTCTTCAGCTTGTTGAAAATGTATATAGCATTCCCTTTGAGCACCTGGGAACCTATTGGCAAGTCCGGGGCATTTCAATCAAGAGTCGTTTTTATATATTTAGGTTGGCTAAATATATAGCAAGTAATGTCAGATTCCTTCTTTCCCATTCTTTTGAATGCATTAAGAATCATTATATCGTGGCTAGGAAAACCACGGTGAAGCACTTTTTATAACAAAAGGACTAAATGAAGTGCAAGAAAGGGCTGTGAATATCACAGAAGCGGTATACTGTAAACAAAGCAGGACAGATGACTTCATGTATGAACCTATGGATAAGCTATGAATAGTTCTATTAAATTTCATTTAAAGCATCCATATCATACGAGGCTTTTCAGTTAGGTCTTTTAGTCTTAATGCTTGGGGGGGAAAAGTGTACTGCAGTCTCCTTAGCCTTTAAATGGCAGAGATGCCATTTTCTAATGATGTGTGACTCATTTATTTCTCATAATCTTCCTGATGATTTTTTTTTTTGTTCCGTCTCTTTTGAGCGAGCAAGATGTGGGAGGGGGGGGAATGAGAGAGTTGAGTGGCACACTGCTTAAATTCTTCTTCTGCTTTTTCATTGGTTACATATTCTCCTAATCTAACCAATCCTGATACATTGCTGCCAGTTTAAGCCCACCTCCCCCCCACCCACCCCCCTTGCTAAACTGAGGTTAGAAAGGATCTATTAACTGGAAACTGATTATGTGCTGCATGAGAACATCTTTTGATACAAAATCATTATCAGGATGGTTGAATAGGAGAGAGGGGAGCCTAGAGTCCTTCTTATTTGACAATTACTACATGACTTTGTAAATGGATGAAGACACTGTGGGCTGTCTTTTGTTAACAGTGACTCTTGCTGTTGCTATTCAGACCTACAAGTTTTCAAGCTTAAATTAGAAAGCTTTTTTTTTTTAAAGTCTACTGCAGATGAGAAGAAACTGTAGCATCAGCACTACAAATACTCTCTACAATTTGATTTGAGGGTGATACTGCTTTTATTTCGCTTTAGTTCTGTTTGAAATAAGTACCAAGGTGGTTAGGGTTTTGTGTGGTGATTTATTTTTTCTCCTGTGTGGGATATTCTTCTCTCCTGCCTCTTTCAAAATGCCCTCCAAAGAGTCTTGGTCAGGGCAAAAAGCTAATAGAGTTGCTGTTCACAACTTGAAACAGGAGAGCCGTCAAAGAGATTTATTGATAGCAGCCTTGGGAATGCGGCTAGGCTTGCAAAAGTCATCTGTGACAATCTGGCAACCTCTTAAACTCTTTGCTTATTCGCAGCTGACATCCCTTGTCAGAAGAGCAACTCTGAAAGAAAACGAACACATTCCAAAATATGAGAAGGTTCACAGTTTCAAGGTAAGATGCTCAATTGTTATCATTAAGCTTCTAGCCAGCCACACGTTGAAAGCTTGTTAAGAAATGTAATGGATTTGCATGTCTCTGTGTTGTCCTTAAGCTGAACAAAAATGTTCAAGTCAGAAATGTAATGTCTTACACATAATATTAAGTCAGAAGGTATCAAGCATGATTTGCTATAGCTGTTATATATTGCTGTTTTATATGTATGTGTGTGAGAGAGAAAGAGTGTGTGTATGTACACATATATACACGTGCTTATAAATGCAAACTATTCAGAAACATTTTGGCAGAGTTCCTGGTAGGTGATTTTATATCCCCCCCCCCCAATACTTAATCAAACATTTAGCCCAGGCATGTCAAACTCGTGATGTCATGTGACGTATTGGGACTTTTCCCCCATTGCTGGCAATGGGGTGGATGCAGTTTCGGCGTGACGCATCTGGCCCGCGGGCCGGCAGTTTGACATGCCTGATTTAGCCCATTTCACCATCTTTTTTTTACTATAAAATAGTATATTGAGTACTGAAAGATATAATCTGTATATCTCTTTCTTACTAATTATTTTTTCCTCTCAATCATCAATATTGAAAACGGCACATTATAACGGTTCTCTTAAAGCCGGTAAAGTCTTAAGGTGTCATTCAGTTCTCTGGATACAGGCTTTGCTTGTTTGGGTTTTACTTATTTTTCAGTACTCTATTGTTGTTCTACTTCTGTTTGTAAAAAGTGACATTTTACCCATTATCGGGGAGAGGTCTCTGAAAAAACTATGCTTTTTAGTGTTTCTATTTGTATGGAGCTAATGGTGTTGTGAGCATTTGCTGTACCCATCTAATTAACTCTTAATTGAATGTGTGCCTGCTTAGTCTGCATAGGTTATTATAAATAGAACAATCAGTTATCACTGGAGAGGGAATACCACAGTAATCTCACGTTCTAAAAATGCTGACCATAATGGTGAGGGTATCCATTTAGCCAACATCTTAAGTTAAATCAAATCTTTACTTTCCTTCTTTCTGAAAATACTCAGCACTTTGTTTTGTCAATCCAGCTCCTATTCTAGCCATGGGCCTTTCAATGTGTTTACAAGAACTCCCCCTTCTATAGTGTAACATGAATTTATCAAAAGAGAACAAGATACATAAGTAACACATACACATACCTGAGGATACAGAGATCTATAAATTAGTGATGTGCTTCAGACTCAACTTTCATGTGGACAATATCCTGAAACAGTCTTCCCCAGCCTGGCATCTTCCAGACATATTGTGACTACAAGTCTCAGATTCCTAGCCAAGATAGATTTGGTGTCCTAACAAACTTAAATGGGGAAGAGTGCCTCATATGTATTAATATCTAGAGCAAGAGTGTCCAATCTTGACAACTTTAAGACTGTAGACTTCGCAAATATTTGTAGCTCATTGTAGATTTTGGTGCAGAATTAGAACCAGCATATGAACCAATAAGAAAACGGACAATCCAAACTACCAATCAACGACAGAATTGACCACTTTCTCACCAATTGAATTTCGCACCTCAGAAGCAACCAGCCATACGAACCTATTGACCACAACATCATACAGGACCTATATAAACAGAGAAGGAAACCAAACAAGACACTTCACCCTAAACCCTGCTGAAGATGTTACCTAGTCTGGTAACAAAATGTCTGGGAGTTAAACAGCAAGCTCGGAAAACAAACCGCTGCCAAAACTAGTAGATTTCAATTCCCAGAATTCTCCAGCCAGCATTGTTGGCTAAAGAATCTGGGAGTTGAAGTCCACAAGCCTTAAAGTTGCCAAGGTTAGACACCCCTGCTCTAGAGGACTTCCTGATTTCAATCTTGCCTGTATCAGGAAGTTGCTTAGTAGCCTTAGGAAAGTCACACTATCTTAGTTATCCCCCAGTCATAATTGGTAGCATGTAGACAATAATATTGCTTTAGTTTATAGGATTACTTGAGGGTTTATAATCTCATGTTGAATATAAAATGCTTTAAAACTTGACAGAATTACACACATTTTTGGTGTATTACCTTTTCAGTTAAAAGGTTGGTTGCAAAAAAAAAATCCAATTTGGGACTAATGCCCTTTGAATTTCTTCAGTACTATTCAAGAGATTTAAAGGCCAATGTGGCCTTTTCTGCTGTGGAACCCTTACCACGCCTCTTACCACCCTCCTATAATCAGTTAAATTCAATCAGCATTAACTTCCAAATTAAAGTAGGTACGATGAAGATCAAATTGGGAAGCATTTTTAACAAACATCTTTTTAATTTAATGCTACAATCGTTAAAGGAGTCTCCTAAGACAGTTCAGCTTATGAAAACTGTAAGAAGAATGCAAGTCTAAAAACATGGTATCATCACCTTCAATAATTGTTGCCATGTATTTCTCTCTTACAACCCAATTTTCCCCAACCTAGTACTCTCCACACCTCTTAGATTTGTACCTCCTATATCCAGCCAGTCTTCTGGAGCCCATCACATATTAAGGGCACCAGGTTTGCGAAAGCTATTTTAACCTCTTGGGCTGCTTTATAATATTTCAAAAAGTTTTGTTTTAAATGAATGCTTAAAATTAGAGAGAAATACTGCAGCTTAAAAAAAAAAATCTCCCTGGCAACCAAATAATCTGCTCCATTTATTTTTAATGGCAGTTTGAATAATGCTTCCTTTGGCAGATCTTCAAGGGAGTAGAGAATATCGCTCCACTGATACACAGGAGGCATTATCAGAAAAAATGCCCTAGGTTAACTGTACAAATTATGACCATTCATAGTGAGCTTGGGGACTCTATTACAGTACTCTTGGGAATGTTGCAATCCACTTTTCTCTGGGGTAAAAAAGGCAAGAAATTAAAAGCAAATAGCAAGAGGAATTTGAACCTAAATAAATAAAACCAGGTCAAAACTCATTTAAATACAGTAATATACTTTTATATAACTTGATCTTATAGTATAAACAGTTTATATTAAATTAGGCTCCCTGGCATGAAGAGTTATAGAGTAATGTTTAAACACTTGGAAATCATTGAATCACAGCCCTGCAAAGGACTTCATGGAGATCTTGGCATGTGGTATTTGTTATAAAACTGCGTGTATATTTCCTGTGCAAACAATTCAGCCAGGCCTTTGTTGGTGAGCAAAGTATGTTTCTGCATCTTTTCCTTAAAGAGTGGAGCAGCTGTAAGTGCTTGGGGGCTTAACCGCTTGGTGGGCTTCCCAGGGTTTCAGGGCATGCCTGTGCATGCATGCGTTTCTAGGGTAGCAGCAGAGCAGAGGGATCCGCATCAAGTGATTTTCACAAGCTTAGTAGCGGGTGTGCAAAATACAGTCTACATAAAAGGATTAAAAGTGGTTCTTTGCAAAGAAACTTGCAAAAGTGCTACCCTCCCCCCAACATTGTTCAAATGGTATCAATTCCTCTTCCATTGGTTCTTCCCTAAGCCAGGCCTGTCATCAGCATTATCAGGGTCCTTGCTTATCAGGAAACTAAACAGAGGAGTTTCTGCAGGATGGACACCATTGGAGCAACACAGGGAAGTGGATTGATAACCCTTGAATGGAGGTCCAGGTACATACATAGACATTCTTTTGATTACCCAAAACGAACCCACAGGCTGTGCTTTAAAAAGTGAGGGTGGTTTTGAGAGGTGTGTGTGTGACTTTTAAAACTACTTTATGAGCCATTTCTCACCCAGAATCCCCTCCTATTGTCTTAACTTATAGGTAACTGTCTCAACTATCTTCTCAGCTTCAATTGTTTGTATAAAGCAGGTATGTCAAACTGCTGGCCCACGGGCCGGATGCGTCACATCGAAACCACGCCCACCCCACTGCCGGCAATGGGGAAAAAGTCACAATACGTTGCGTGACGTCGCGAGTTTGACATGCCAGGTATAGAGCATTTGGTAATTATTACTCTCTGGAATGAGAGCACAAGACCATTCAAATAGGTTCCACAGATAATGGTCCTGTGTAAAGGGGGGGGGTGGGTGGAACAGACACTCCCACTGGAGCAACCTCTGTAGTGACTTAATTTCCATTTTCTTTCACTCATTAATGTCCTTTATCTGATTTCAGCTAGCTATTTCTTCCTGAATTGCAAGCTGGTTTGGGCCCCAGCTCTTAAGGTGATCCAATCAATTGGAACAATCTTACATTTCAGTGACCAAACCATTAAAGGTGCACAGTTGTCTTTGATTTAGTCCAGATTCTTTTCAATCATTTTTCACATGCCAAGATCTTTATGAAGGGGTAAAGTGAATGCCAGATAGATGGGATTACTTTTAAGGTATTAACTGTGTTGATTATACATTTTAATCTGGAAGGCTTTATTGTGGTCCCTTACAGTTTCGGTTCTTCAATTAATTGGTTAATTAAAGAACTCCTAGACTCCTCAGATACAATTCTCTACAGCCCTTTATGAAATGAATTTTGTAAAAGGATTCCTAAAAGATTTTTTTTATGTATATATTTGTGCCTGTATACACAATCCTGTTTCTGGGGAAGCGACTGCAAGGCAAAATGGCACTCTTTACCATTTCATTGTTTCATTTTTCAGTCCATGTGTTTCACGTATAACACAAAAGAAGCATTCTCCACTGCTTTCCCTCTATTCCAAGAGAGTCAAAACTGTGGAAATAGAATTCCCCCCCCCAATTAGCTAAAACTTCTGTGTTTATCCATATTTTTCTTGGTAAATCTAGCTTTGACACATTGATGCTTTCTAGTCTCTTGCTTTTGCATGCACGTGGCTTCCCATGTGACAAAAGTGTAGAAAGATTGCACTGCAGCAGCCAAAGCTCTTGCTTCAAGGATATGATATGGTGTGTCACAGCCTCTTATCTTCAGCGGAGTTTTTCCCCCTCCCCAGATTAGCTAGAGCATCATAGCCAAGTTCGTTCTATTCATATTCAGCTTTGCAGGGTCCTGTAGCTATATATTTTGGTACTTGATGCTGTCACTTTTTTCTTGACTAAAATAATTTGCAGCCT